GCAATATAGTGTCCAAGTTCAGAATCCTCACCTTGCTGGGGCCGGAGAGATAGTGCAGTGGGTAAGATGCTCACTTGCCTTGCATGTGGCTGACCTGGGTTCAATCCCCAGCATTTCATATAGTCCCCCTGAGCACCGCCAGGAGTAATTCATGAGGGCAGAGCTAGAAATAACCCCTGAGCATCTCTGGGTATGACTAAAAAAAACAAAGCAAAACCAAAAAATGAAAATAAAGTAGAAATGTACAGAAATTAGCCATCTCTAGAATGTGGTTGTGAAAATTTTCCACCCACCCAAGTCCCCCACTCCCAGTGACAAGTTACAACAAACATTAAAAACTGACTTGATGCCGAGGTAACTGAAAAGGGGATCAGGTGTGGGAAAAGGGGTACCCAGCTCTGTATAGGAGCCTCAGAAATAACTTTGTTACCTGTTGCCCTGAACATTTTCATGCATCTTTCTCTCTACCTCACCTTTAGCCATAGACCCAATCTTCTGGTGTAAATGACCTGAAGTAATTGTGTTCCATTTTAGGGGACATTTCTACAAGGCCTCAACTTGTCCTATTTTCTCACTACTAATGTTTCCTTTTGGTTTGCTTCTTTTCGGGGGGGAGGTGTCTTTTTGGCTTTTTGGGCCACAACCAGTGGTCACTTAACTCCTAGCTCTCTGCTCAGGATTCAGTCCTGGTGGTGCTCAGGGTGCTGGGGATGGAACCACAGTGAGCTGTATACAAGGCAAGCACCCCATTTACCCACTATACTATTGCTCCGGCCCCTCTTTTAGTTTGCTTTTGGTTTTTTTGTTTTGTTTTGCTTTGCTTTTGGGGTCACACTGGAGATGCTCGGGGTTACTCCTGGGTCTGTACTCAGAAATCACTCCTGGTGCTCGGGGAACCATATGGGATGCTGGAAATCAAACCCGGGTCGGCTGCGTGCAAGGCAAATGCCCTACCCTCTGTACTATCACTCCAGTCCGTTTTTTGGTTTGGGGCTCACACCAACTTGCTTAGGGGATACTCCCCCAGTTTAGTACTAGGTATTATTCCTAGAGGTGCTCAAGGGACCACAAGATACAGAAGAGCAAACCCAGGCCTCCTACATGCAAGCACACGTTCAAAATACTCTTTGAGCCACCTCTCCAACCCTATTGAGAGGTCACACCACTGCTGGGACCAAATTCAGGGCCTTGCATATGCTGAACATATATTAGTCTATTATTTGAGCTATCTCCGTGACCCCTCACTGATAATGAGAATAAAATAGCTAGATGGAGATGCAGCAATAGTCCAGTGGGCAGGGCAATAGTCCAGGAGGTAGGGCAATACCTGCAGCCAACCAGGATTCAATCCCTGGCATCCCATATAGTTCTCAAGTACCTCCAGGGGTGATCCTTGAGCACAGAGCCAGGAGCAACACCTGAGCATTGCTGGGTGTGCCCCGCCCCCCAACCCTCACCTGCAAAAAAAAAAAAAAAAAAAAGCTTGAAAAAAAGAATAGCTTGAAAAACCTGTTTTTAGTCTCCCAGAAAATATATGCTCAGTCTCAGGGACCAAAGAGATAGTACAGCGGGATAGCTAGCAAACCTTGTTCCTGGTCTCCCGGGGAACATATGCTCACTTTCTACCTCTCTAGAAATGCTTGAGGGGGTGCTTTCAGATTTTGAAAGACAAAGCGGTGAATAATACCCACCAAATGATCTCAGCATTTCCTGAGAAACCCAGTTTCTTACCTCTCCATGATCGCTGTACTCCTGCAAAGGAGTTCCAGAGTGTACAGGGACTGGGCAGGGACTGGGCTCCTGCCCTCTCTCTCCCCCCTCAGCTACTCCATCATCTGACCTGCCTTCTAGTTATAAGGATTCTCAAAGGTTCCCTTCCTAGGAAGGAAGTTCCCAAGCTCCCACAGAGTTTAGGGAGTTTGGGAACTACGGGAACAGAAAACCTGTTCAAAAGAAAATAATTAGATCTTGAAGACAGGGCTGGAATTTGAGTTATCTCTGGAAATTCAGGGAATGGCACTTAAGTTAGTAGGGAGGTGACAGTATCGGTGAAATCAAAATGTTTTTAAAGACTGGCATGCATCCATATTGGCTTGGAGCAAGTCACAAATTTAACCAGTTTCCTGCTTGTCAACTTGTCTCTATTCTTCCCAGGACAGAACGATACCTCTGTCATAGAAAGTATTAAAGCCTTTAAGTCTTACTCATAAATCATAGCTAAATAATTAACATCTAATTTCTGAGAAGTGACTTCACACTGATCAGGAAGATCTGATGTTTCATCCTCCACCTCCCCGCTTCACACCGGATTAAGGAAATTTCTAAACAGCCCTTTCTAAACAGTCCTGTAATAGCACAAGTTACCAGTTTGTAAAAAGTTGAAACCTAAAGAAAGCAAACTTGGAGCAGGAGTGATAGCACAGCAGGTAGGGCATTTGCCTTGCACGCGGCCAACCCAGGTTTGATTCCCAGCATCCCATATGATCCCCGGAGCACCGCCAGGAGTAATTCCTAAGTGCATGAGCCAGGAGTGCAATGTGGGGTGTGACCCAAAAATCAAAAAAACAAACCCCACTATTTAATCACTTCCTCTCAGCATCAACTGCTGTTGCCCTCCCCACACTCTGACCTAAAGGCACAAACCCAGGCACACCCACCCCCAAACACTGGTGCCCACTCTCAACTCGTGACAGCAACATGAAAACAATCACCACCTTGGTTCACATATGTATTGTGAAGGATTTAATCCCACCTGTCCTTTACTGTACATGAGTCCTCAGAGTTTTCATGTGTGTCTCTGTCATGTGTCTCCTCTGCAATTCTATGGAGAAAGAGAAAAACATGAAGCAGAGGCTCTGATGGCTATGAAAATAATTTCCTATTTGTTTTGGGCAGGAAATGAGTCAGATAGGCTACCAAAAAAGCCCTAAACCATTCTGGAAACTGAATATGATGCTCAGGGTTATGGCATAGAGGCACTGGGCAAACCAGAAGGAAAGTCATGTCACCAGAACACGAGAAGACTGTGTAATGACAAGGCTTTTGACATTGTAGAGAGTTGTTGAGGCTCTCCTGTCTCAGGGCCAAGGAGGCTCCCTTTCCAGAAATTCTTACCACACCAATTTTGGGCATCCTAAGGCCACTAAGACACAGAGATGAGCAAAAACGGGCACACACACACAAAAAAAACTTACACCCAGCTCATTTGGGGAGAAGTCATGTACATTAAATCAATGAAGGAAAAAGAAATATTTGGGCCAGAAAGATTGCTCAAAGGGTTGCAAGTATATGCTTTGCATACTCAAAGGTCAGGTTTGATCTCTGACACATGACTGTCCCCTCCTCCACGGCATCATCAGGGGTAGCCCTGTTGATGCTTACCACTGCCAGGCTAAGCACTGAACCATCAGTTCAGTGGCTAAATATCACTAAGAGTGGTCCCTGGACATTCTGAGCACTGCTTGGGAGTACCCCATCTTCCAATAGCATTTGGGGCTCTGCCCTTGCCTTCATGCAACTAACCACAGCATTGGCAAGTAATTTTCTCATAATAACAAATGAAATTGTAGCTTAACTGACACAGAACCAATCTCGTAGGTTCCAATTTAAAGTTACCCAATCTCCCAACTATGAAACCTCCAAGGCCACGGTATATGAATATCCCTAAAAGTGTCCTGAACAGGGCTGGGGATGAAACTCAGCAGTGAGGCACATGCTTTGCAAGCATGTCATCTGGATTTTATCCCCTATGTCTAAAGAAAAAAAAAAGAAAGAAAAGTGACTGAATAAAACTCTCCATTATCCTCAATCCACATAGGGGTGTAACTAAACCAGCCCTTCAAGTTTGTGAGGGGATGAGAAAAAATATTCCTATTTCCTCATGTTTATCTGCACTGCCTGGCTCAGAGCCCTTAGGGATATTAACTCTAGATTTCAGAAAAGAGGCAGTCCGATACAGGCAGCAAGACTTCCACATCATGTCCCAGGCTGCCACCATCTTGGCTACATTATTCCCTTTGTTTCCTTGCCCTTGAACAGACCCAGAAGGAGTCACCAAGTCATGGAAAGTTCCACTTCTACGTAAGTAAGAGTGTGGTTGAGCCTAAGAGGAGCCTCAGGGCAAGTTCTCCTCTCCCAGCCTGCATCTGCGCATCCCACACTGAGCACTAACTCACCTTGATGGTAGCCTTCCCTAGGTCTCTGACCCTCTAGGTGATAAGCAACCCCAGAGCACAGGCAAAGAAGTGAAACCCAGCCTGAGGGGGAAGTATGGGAAGAAGCATTCTCAGAGGGGAGAGAAGTAAATGCAGGGTGAAAGGAAATTCTGATTAAAAGACACGGCCTTTAAAGGGCCTCCTCTACCACAAATGTCAGAATGATTTCATCTGTTCTTGAAATGGAATGCACCCCTCCGAAAGGCAGAGAAAGCAAGCAAGCATTGACTATACTGTTGATTTCAGAGAGAGGTGAGACTCAAACTGTGGGTAACTGGAAACGCCAAGATTCCATTGCCTTCCGGAACCTAGACATCCAGGTGCAACTCAGTAAGTCTCAAATAGTGTTGAGATACTCTGCTTCCAGCTGGTCCAAGATAAAACCTATAGGATTTTGGTTTTTCGACTGTTTGGTTTTTGTTTTTTCTTAAAGGGAGGAGGGTATCCCAAGTGGTGTTCTGGAGGCCGGCTACTGCACGCAAATCTCAGCCAAAGTGAACATCACTTCAATGTGAAGGTCTGAGGGTGCAGTTCTGTTCAGGACCTGCAGTGCTGAGGACTACCCAGACCACTCTGGCAATGCTGGGAATTGAACTCAATTTTTAGCTGAAATTATAGATAATTCTATGATTGATGATTGAAGAACCATTTTCCCCTCTGCAGCTAAGTAATGAAGAACACATCTGGATTCAAATTCTGCCTCTAGCACGCCAGCTGTCAGGCCCTGGTCAAATGACTGCCCCATTGCCCCTATCCTGCCTTCTATGCTGTTAGAAAGCACAGTGAACACTTACCATGCAGGGGAGATACAATCACGAAGGTGGTTTTCCAGGGCGAGGCTTATCCATTGCACTCCGGATGTGCTGACCCCTGCAATTTTCCCAAATGTGGGAATCTCAACTGAATAATTTGTGGTAGTGGGGGACTGCATTCATGCTCTCCCCTGAAAAAAAAAAGAACAAAGTTCAGTGAGGTCACTCAGTGAAAGCAGAACACTCACTGCCCAGCATGTATTAATTGCTCCATTAGTATATGATTACTTGTCCCAATTGTACCCATTGTACTATAATTATAAAACATCCTATTTGTGGCTATTAGTATTTTACATTGCAATATGTACATACAAATTCACTGGTCCAGTGGAAGAGCTATGCATGTAGCCACCCTGGGTTTGATCCCTGGCACTCCAAATGCTCCATCAAGCTCTGACAGGAGTGATTCCCTGAGCACAGAGATAGGAGTAAGCCCTGAGCACCACTGAATGTGGCGAAAAAACAACAACAAAAACTCAACATATTGCCAGGCCAAATAATTTTTAAGGCTCCATGGGAGCCCTCCATGGAGAACTCTCAATAAACCTAGTAAACTAGCTACTAAAATAATCCTTCTAAACTATTTTTTCTCCTATGCCCTCCAAGTCTCAGCCTTCCACTTCTGCCCAAGGACATTAAATCCTCAACAAAACTTTACACTGTGCTGTTGTGTTTTAAGATGAATCTAGAACTGCTTACAGAATGAGTTTTGGTTGTGTGCTCTTCTCTAGTCTTTCAACAGAAGTCCTTCCTTCCTCTTATCCCTCTTAACCTTTCCCCTCCTACATTCATAGCCCCCTTTTTTAAGAAAGTCAAAATCCTTTTAAAGTGTGTGTTTACTCATTTGGGGTACAAAGTAACTGCTATGACAGAAAAAGATAATTTTATTTTCAAGAAGAATCTAAATTCATAGCTCCCATTTCCTTGGGGCTGGAGAGATAGTACATTGACTAGGAAGCTTATCTTGCACGTGGCCAACCCATCCCCAGCATCCCATATTCTCCCTGGAGGACCACCAGGAGTAATCCCTGAGCACAGAACCAGGATTAACCCTTGAGCACCACTGGGTGTGGCCAAAAAATTTTTTTAATAAAAGAAAAAATAAAATAAATTCATAGCTCCCGTTTTCTAAAAGATTTAGAGTTCATTAATTTGTGACACCCACACTAAGAATATCTACCTGGCTCAAACCCTGAAATGTCAATGAGGAAGAGTAGAATGAAACTGTGCAGGATGAGGAGGAGGCCCGGCCTCATGAGCAGCAGCCCCGCTACACACCTACCACCTCTCCCTCTTCCGGAGATTCCCCCCACACACACACCCAAGACTTCTCAGTTCTTGGATGTGACACATGCAGCCAAACCAGGTATCCCCAAACAAAGATCTCATTGGCTCTTTTCTCACTTACTGCCACTAGTGGTTCCACACTCACAAGAGCCAAAGAATTTAGCCTGGTAGTTAGGACTCTCAAAATTTCAGATTCCTACTCTTCCTGCTGCCTAAAAAACTCCCAAATAAGGGGCTGGAGCAAGAGTACAACAGGTAGGGAGTTTGCCTTGCACATGGCCGAGGTTCATTCCCCAGCATCCCACATGCATGGTCCTCTAAGCACCATCAGGTATAATTCCTATGTGCAGAACCAGGAGTAACCCCCGAGCATCAATGGGGGTGACCCAAAAAAGCCAAATATAAAACAAAACAAACTCCCAAATAAGACCAGGCCAAAAAAAAAAAAACCCACCTACTCTACTCCATGCACTAAAGATCAGTCGACCAAGTATATCACTGACAACCTATCCCCTCTCCTATAGACACCAGCTAAATTAATTGTATCTGTCAATAGATCCTTGGATGATCCCAAATAAATGATCCCAAAGATAGTTACTGATTTCAGTGAGAAAGGAGGAAATAAAATGCCTGACAGGCGCCCGAAATAGTAGTACCGCAGGTAGGGACACTTGCCTTTCATTTGGTAGACCTGGGTTTGATCCCTGGCACCCCAAATGGTCCCTGGAGCACCTCCAGGAATGATTCCTGAGTGTAGAGTCAGGAGTAACCCCTGAGATTGCTGGGCTGGCCCCAAAATAAAACAAAACAAAAAAAGTCTGACCAGGGCACTCAATCTGTAGGACCTGATTTCATTTTAGTCAAATGCTGCAGCAGGCAAAAATAAAACTGGAAGAAATCTAACTCAAGGTTATAGTTTAGACATTGGCAGGACCCGCAAATGGCTTCTTCTGCCAACAGGCCTAGGAGGCTGTCCCATGAGCAACTGTCCTGGATTCTCACCACTTTCCCACTAACTCTACCTCACAAGTTGCAGATTCCAAGATGGCCTAGAAATAACAGAATCAGAAAGCATAAACTTTGGTACCAGTTCAGGTGGAACTCCTGGAGCCAAATACAAGGGCCTTTGACTATAGAAAAAATGGGCCCATTGTCTTAGTGGGTGGAACCACACCATAGCAGGAGCAAAGAAACCAGTTTTGTGCCCAGAGATCAGTACTTGCCCTGAAATACCAACGTGGAGAGGCGGAAGGGAGAAAGGAATACACACTAAGAAAACAGAAGCAATTACAATAGTTCTTATTCACTCGTGGTTTTTGTTTTCTGGTTTGTCTTCTTTTTTTTTTTTTTTCCTTCAAGAGTACTCTGTCTGGACATTGAGTCCCCCAGGATTTAGCTAGGCCAAGAAAAGGTGTGGCTCCCTAAAGGATGAAATAATCAAGCTGGAATGAGCATGTATCTTGCACATGGCTGACCTGCTTTGATTCCCAGTACCCCATATGGTCCCCTGAGCCCACCAGGAATGATCCCTAAGCACAGAGACAAGAGTTATCCCTAAGTACCACTGGGTATGGCCCCCCCAAAAAAAAAACATCTCCCAAAAAGGATGAAATAATAGAAAAGATGAGACTTAAATGTCTCTATTATGAGACTTAGTAGAAAAGGGAGCTACTCTATCCTTTCCCTAATTGCGTATTTTAAAATTAAAAAAAACTCTGAGTTTAACTTTGGATTGGGGTTATAGGTCAAGTAGCAGAGCACATTCCTGAGTGTACAAGGCTAAGTTTAATAGCTAGCACCACATGCCTCTCAACCCTATACTGTTTGGTATGGCCCTGGTGGACCACCAGTATCAGTGAGGGTGACCCCTATTTAAAAAACTGAAACAAGATCAGAGAGATAGTACAGGAAATAAGGCTCTTGTGTTACATATGACCAACCCTGGTTTATCTCAGGCACTGCAAATGATTCCCTGAGCCCTGCCAAGCAAAATACAGCATTCTGCCCACCTTGATACCACAAGAAAAGTAGGAGGGCGAAGCAGAAAAGGCTGAAACTCAAACAAGGAATCTTTCATGAACACATTCTCCCCAGTGACTAAGCCTAAAGCCACTTGATCCAAGTTCCCAGATTATCTCAGTTCATTCACCCCATCAAAGGGCTTGGATATTATTCCTTGATTATTCCTTCCAGCATAATCCATTGAAGCAATAAAATCATTTAAATCGACAAAGTCTCATGCTTATACTCAAAGTTCATCCTAGCTGTCCTTGCTTTAGCAAATTTGAATGGCATGCTCTCTCTTATACCTCAGGGGCTCCCACAGGCAAATGAGGGTCTTCCTCTTGAGTCCTACTACCGACATTGAGCAAGCCTCTATTCATGATGCTTTAATAAAATGATATTTAATTGTCTCATTTTTGAAAGTCAAGATAAAATCTGAGGACCAAAAGACAGCTCAATAGGCTAGAACTCATGATTTGCCTGCAGTAAGTCCAGGTTCAATCCCTGGTACAGCATTATTCCCTGAGGTAGTACCATGAGTGGACCCCCCCACACACACACACACAAAGCATAACACACCAACCACCAAATATGTGTGTATGTATCAGACAGATTGAAAAAAGAAAAAAAATTGAGCCAAAGAGACAGTATAGACACTTACCTTGCGTCCTATTGACCCAATATCACAAATGGCCCCTTTGTGCACCATCAGGGATTACTCCTGAGCACAGTCAGGAATTACCCCTGAGAACCTCTGGGTACAGCCAAAAGACTCAAAAGAAAAAGAAAGCATCACCTGCATTTCATTTTCACCCATAATCTAGATGTAATCTTGAGCCCAGAGAGAGAGTACAGATAGTGTGTGTGGGTTTTTTCAAAAGGAAAGAGAGAGAGAGAGAGAGGAAAAGTGCCATAGAGGCAGATTGAGGGTGGGGGATGGAAGGAGGGAAAGTGGGGACATTGATGGTAGAAAATATACATTGCTGAAAGAAAGGGTGCTGGAATATTGTATGACTGAAACCCAGTCATAAACAATTTTGTGACTGTGTGTCTCATGATGATTTATTTCTTTTTTTTTTTCTTTTTGGGTCACACCTGGCAATGCACAGGGATTACTCTTGGCTCATGCATTCAAGAATTACTCCTGGCAGTGTTCGGGGGACCATGTGGATGCTGGGAATCAAACCTGGGTCAGTCGCGTGCAAGGCAAATGCCCTACCCACTGTGCTATCACTCCAGCCCCCTTATAAAACTTTTTTTAAAAAGTATGTGTGGGTTTTTTTGTTTTTGGTTTTGATTTTCAGTTCTTTGTTTGCTTGTTTGTATCAGGGTCATACCTGGAGGTAGTCAGGGGTCATGTGCTTGTGATAGTGCTTGGGGGACATTATGGGATGCTGGGGATCGAATCCAGGTCAGCTGCCACAAAGCAAGTTCCTTACCTACTGTACTATCTCTCCAACCCCTAAGTGCTATTTTATGTGGGACTAAATGCTTGCCTTGCATGTGTCTGACCTGGGCACAATCCTGGACTCTGAACAGTGTGCTTCTAAGCACTACTAGGAGTGATCCCTAAGCACAGAGCTAGAAATAAGCCCTGAACACCACCAAGTGTGGCCCAAAATCATAGAAAAAAAATTCTAGATGTAATTATTGTTTACTTTTGGCATTATCTTTTTTAAAATTTTTTAATTTTATTTTCATAACATTCACAATAATAGATTCATTCAATATTTCAACACCAATCCCACCACTATTACACCTTCCACCACCATTATTTCAAATTTTCCCACCATCACTCAAGCCTGTCCCACAGGCAGATGCTAAATAATTTATTTTGTATTGC